AAGTGCTAGATTTTATTGCGGTTATAGTTATCCAAATATTTTTTTGCTCTGTGGTTTAAGTTTTCATTTTGGGATCTTCTTTCAGAAGTCTTTTCTTACTCATAGAACATGAAGATATGGGTCTGTGCTTTCTTCTATTAGCTTTGAATTAATAGATTTCCACAGTTGGTCTTCCATCTGGAGTTGACCTATGCAAAGTGTATAAGGTAAGAGGCCAGCTTCATTTTCCTCCATACAGTGAGCCAGTTTTTTGCCAACACAATCTATGATTTCCCCATTTACAAAAATAAATGGGGATAAAATATCTTAAAGTACAATACACTATTAGTTGTTATTGTGGTTTCATTTGGAAACATGGCCATTTCAGTTTTCCCAAACCATTTTCTCTTTTAGGGGGAGGCTGTATCTCAGACCTTGTTGGGGGCTTTAGTTTAACATAGATGGTGATACAACTTATGTCCTAACTCTGATCTTCTACTCTCTAGCCTTTTCCTTCAGGTATCAAAATGAAGAAATTTTTCGGGCAACACCATTTTCAACTGCCTACATGCAGCTCACAGTTGTTTAGACTGAATGATAGAATAAATTCATCACTGTTGAAATGAAGTAATGAATGCAATAGTTTTCATTTTGGTCACTTTTACTAGGAAGATTAGATGATGTGAAAAAAGTTACCAGGCAGCTCTCAGTTTCCCTGAAAAATGAACTTATCTAAATTAGAAACCTATAGTTATTCACCTGTATATGTCTAAGATGTGACACAGTAATTGGCACATAATAGAAGCCAATAAATCCTGAATAAATGAAGAAATACATAGAGTATAACCTAACTAGTATGTATTACTAACTAAGTAATACATATAGTGTAGCCTAACTAGTCTGTTAGATGCCATCGGTGGGTTCACACAGGAAGCTGTGGGCTCTATACAAAAAGTTCTGGTAACATGACATCACTATAATTTGGTTTGAAGCAAAGGAGAGAATGTTCAGCCCCCAACCTTGTCCCCAATCTACCAGTGGGACTCCTGGGTTCACAGATAACAAGCCTGGATATCATGTCAAGTGATCCTGTGAAAGTAACTTGACCTCATAGCTTCTGTTTCCAGTTTAAGAGAAGCACATCTGTTCGAATACTGTTCAGTGTCTGCCAAAGCCTGACGTCATTGTAAAGACCTGCTCTTACTGTGAATGGGAAACAGAAGGTTCTGCTGAATGAATAGAATAGTTTTATTAATGCAAATCACACATGGATTGCCAATTTTTGGGAAATGAAAATACTCGACTAATAAAAGCCCATTTTGCTGCTTGCTAATTCTGTAGCTTTGGAGCCTCAATCTCTCTAGGCTTCTGCTTCTTCATTTGTTGAATGGGAAAGATAATAACATCTATCTTTATAGAGCAGGAGTCAGCAAACATTTCTGTAAAAGGCCAAATAGTAGATATTTTTGGATTGTGGGCCCTATGGTTTCTATTGTGACTTCTCAACTCTGCTGTTACAGTACGAAGGCAGCTAGAGACAATGCATAAGTGAATAGGCATGGCTGTGTCCTAATGAACTTTATGCATAGAGAAATTTGAATTCCTTATTATTTTTACATGGTGCAAGAAAACTGTTCCCCTTTTGATTTTTTTTTTTGACCTATGTAAAAACCGTATTTAGCAAAACGAATGCAGATTGGAATTGGCCCTTGAGTCATAGTTTGCCAACTCCTATTATGGAGCTTCTATGATACATAAATCAGGTTCATGGTAAGGGCTGTATAAATATTAGGTATTATCCTTATGCTTTTAAATTATTTAGGTAAAAAGTAATTTGAAATTACAGATGGAGTATGATGACAATCGTGTAGTATACTGTCTGGTCTGATACATGTATGTCCAGGTCTGAAAGAAAAAAGCCAACACACTTAACAGTTACGATGTTAGGATAATAAGACCCAGCTTAATACGTTTCTGGTTTTTCTTTAATAAAACATAAAAATCACATTAAAGTGAAAAGATAACCTAAAGACCCAATCTAGAAAATATTTTATATTCACAATATTATTTGATATAAATTTAATTTTCTTGTTACAATTCAGAAGGCATTTTAGATATTTATTCCCTCTAGGGATCACTGTGAAGCTTAGTTACAACTGTGGAAGAATGTAGACATGCAGATCAAGACTTAGGGATGAATCCATGCTGATCTTATACCACATATGAGAAGCAGCTTTTCAAGGCAGTCTACCTCTGTTTTTCTTTTTCTTTTCTTTTCTTTTCTTTCTTTTTTTTTTTTTTAAGACAGAGTCTTGCTCTCTCACCAGGCTGGAGCACAGTGGCACAATCTCGGCTCACTGGAACCTCCGCCTCCCGGGTTCAAGCGTTTCTTCCGCCTCAGCCTCCTGAGTAGCTGGGACCACAGGCGCGTGCCACCACACCTGGCTAAATTTATATATATATATATATATATATATATATATATATTTTAGTAGAGACGGGGTTTCACCATGTTGATCAGGATGGTCTTGATCTCTTGACCTCACGAACTGCCCGCCTCGGCCTCCCAAAGTGCTGAGATTACAGGCGTGAGCCACTGCGCCCGGCCTACCTCTGTTTTTCTTGTACTCCTTATAAGTGTGGTTACTGCTAAACAGACAGATACATTCATAGTGTACTGAAGCGGGATAGACAAGAAAATCACCAAATCCAGGTACATATAGAAGGCGAAAGCAGTGGGAGAAGAAAGGAAGATCATCCAGCCCAGTCTGGAGGCAGAGATGGTCATAGATGGGTAATTAGAGAGCACTTCCCAAAGAGGTGGAGATGGAGCTAAATTCTGATGGAGCAAGCAAAAAAAGCCAGTGGAAGAGTAGAAGAAGAGCATTCCAATCAAGGAGTCAGGGTATCCCAAGGGGAAGCTACATGGGGCCATGGCTGGGGGCCGGGTAGAGCACTGAGGGATGATTGAGGATGGCTGGAGGAGAGGATGTCCACAAGATGGTGGGGAAGACGGTGTTATGGAAGCGGACAGGGGTCTGTGGACTCTGAATCTCATATTCAGAATTTGGGACTGTATCCTAATCATTAAATGAAGTGACTTGACTTGTAAACTTCAGTTATTTCATAGTAAAGCGGTAGAAATGATGTCTACCTAGTAGGATTAATGCCAGGGAGATTAAATGAGCTGATGTATTCAGGCCTTAATAAACTTCAGAATGTTTTACGTGATGGAAATTTTTATTTTCCAAATTGTTCTAAAATAATTTTTAAATGAAAGGTATATGTTTTTCCATAAAACACTGCAATTTCAAAACAATGCCTGCATTTGGTAATCACTAAGCTTTCAGAATTTTTCTGCTAGTTGAAACCTCATTCATGAAGGAGAATCACATATACTGTCTAATTCCAGACAGTGAGGAAGCTAATGGAAAGCAAGTATTAATACAAGTTAGCATGGGGGGACAGCAGCCTCCTAAACAGTCTGTATTGCAAGGGGACTTGGAAGCTGATCATTTGCTATTTAAGAAAAAAATTACTAATAGAGGATCCATTCTAAATGTTTTGTTTGAGAGTCCAAAACCAAAATAGTTATTTAAATGTAGTTGTTAGTGAAAAATCTGTTCTAATGTGTTGATAAATACGATTTTTGTATTATTGTTGCCTTTAATATGTATTTATACTTCATCAATAATAGCTTAAAAAGAGTGACCTCTAATTCTTCAAATATAGCCATTCTCTGATTCTGTATGACAAATTTATTTTGAAGGGGAAAAGGTAAGTGAAAGTCACACAAATAGGGATGACAATATAATCTTTGGAGGGAGTGTTAAAAAAAATCATGGGTACATAATTTACATAATTTATGTCAGACTGTTACTTAAATAGCATCTTAGAAAAAGTAAGTTGAATTTAAGTCAACAATTAGTTTTAAATAATTTTAAAAATAACCCGTGCACTTAACTATTAGAAATAGCAACCAGAAAAGCTTAGAAGCAAAAGTTACAAAGGTTCATTATTCTCCCACCTTTACTTTTCTCTGACATGTGCTGGGATTGCTACTCCTTTATAGCCAGTTTTCTACCTGTAAAAGACATTGTATGTGTAATCTACAAACTTCCAGGGCTGGAAAGTGGAGTTGCAAGTAGGCATTAATACACTCTGAGAACAGAAAGATTTTGGTTTCAGAATTCTAATTCTTACAGTTCTTCTAGTCTCTGTTCTGCAGACCCTAGCTCCTGCCTCCCAATATATACCCACTATACTACATCCTCCAATGCTGTAGAAACCAAGAATGGAAATCTATTATTAATTGACTGCTACATCGATAATTTGTTTTGTTTTCTTCCCAACAGCAGTCAAAAGGAAATGCCATGAAAATATTAACAAACTAATGTATGTCTTTAGGAGAAAAGATGCAATATGTAGCAAGACCTAAAAAAATGTACTGATTACCCTTTGATCTACTAATTATTCTTCTGGGAAATGACCAAACAGAGGCATATTATATAGTGAAAAAGAAAAAAAAATGAAAACAAACTTAAAATGTGCAATAATTAGAAAATGGCTAAGCAACTCAGTATCATAAATTGACAAAATATTATGCATTTAAGAGGATATAGAAAAAACTCTGAAAATACATGATGAAATCATATAACCTAAAGTATGTTGTATATGTATTTGTTAATTACAAAAATGCAAAACCTATGTCATAAAATATTGAGAAGAACTTTAAAGACATATAACTGTGGCTGGTTTATGTTCCATGTGGTGTTTCTTTTGAGTAAAAGGTTTTTTGGGATAATCTTTGAAACAGCAAAAATGCTGCTAGGATTAACATATCACTTAAGCTTTCTCCCTTTCTCTTTTTTTTTTTTTTTAAATATGGCCTCTAAAGATGACCTGAACCTTGTACTTGCCATTTTATCTCTTTTTATGTTCCTGAGGAAGAGCTTTTTTATCTAATATTATGAAGTTACTTATTCAATAAATGAATTTACAGTTTTAGACAAGTTACTCACTCTTTGATGTGCCCATGAAGTTCCTTTCGCCGAAATTCATGATTACTTAAAGAAGAAACACTCCCTCTTTTCTTCCATGAACGAGCTGCTCTGTCTTTAGCATTGTCTGACATCATCATAACCTATGGAAGAAGACTTTTGTAAATTAGCAAAAGAAATATCTGGAAACATTTTTGTTAGTATAATAGAGACTAATCTCAAAGTACACAGATTCTTTTTCTACCATTTTTGAGTGCGGAAGTGGGGTTTCCTCAAGAGCAATATACAGTATTCATTTTAGTTCTGATCAGTAAAACTGGAACTGTGACAACTCTGAAAATGTTTATTTATGCAATAATATACTTACTTTACATAAGCAGATATTAAGCTAGAGCAAAAATGCTTAACTAATGAAGAGGGAGGTCACTGAAAAAAGATACACATGTATAGAAGAAAGATGCTATCCTACATAAGAAACCAATATTTATACTGTCCTCCAAATTTAATTGTAATACAAGTTTGCTAATTAGTATTTGTTGTCAGTGTTACATTTTATATTTGAGACAGGATCTTGTTCTGTTACCCAGGCTGGAGTGCAGTCGCATGATCACGGCTCACTGCAGCCCCAAACACCTGGGCTCAAGTGATCCTCCCAACTCAGCTACCTGAGTAGCTGGGACTACAGGTGTATGCCACCATGCTGGGCCAATTTTTTATTTTTTGTAGAGATAGGGTCTGTGTTGCCCAGGCTGGTCTTGAACTCCTGGGCTCAAGCAATCCTGCTTCAGCTTTCCAAAGTGGTGAGATTACAGGCATGAGCCACTCTGCCTGGCCTATTTTACTGTTTTAGAGACAGGATCTAGTGTTTGAGAGACAGGATCTAGCTCTTGTTACCCAGGCTGGAGTGCAATGGCACGGTCAGAGCTCACTGTAACTTCAAACTCCTGGGCTCAAGCGGTCCGCCCACCTTAGCCTCTCTAGTAGCTAGGACTACAGGCCTGCACCACCATGTCTGGCTAATTAAAAAAAATTTTGTAGAGACAAGGTCTTGCTATGTTGCCCAGGTTGGTCTTACTCTCCTGGCCTTAAGTGATCCTCCTGCCTTGGCCTCCCAAAATGGTGGAATTAAAGGCATAGACCACTGTCCCTGACCTGCCATGACTTTAAAAATTAAAATTAGGGGTAATGGGCTAGAAAAAAAATAAATAAAAATTAAAATTAACTGTCTTTCCCAAAGATTTCTTGTTTGTTTTGTTTTCTTGAGTAACAGTTACATACTTTGTAAGGAGCAAATAGAACTTAATGTTTAAATGAATAATGTATTGGAAAACTTCCTCCTTCCTACTAATACTTGTTAAAAAGCTGGTAGTAGCAAGGGACTTCCCAGAACTTAGATTATAACTCTAATGCCCTGTCTACCTACAAATTTAAGTATTCATTTAAATTATTTCATAATCTGTAAATGTGAGCGCCGCAAAAAGAAAATACTGTGCTAGACACCAAAGCATAAAAATAAAAGGGAATCCACCTTCAAGGAGTTGGTGGATGAGTGAGTAGGGCAGGTAAGAACATACCCTAAACCCAGTGGCATCAGTGCGGAGCAGAGGTACTGTGTGTGGGTGAGGGAGGCAGCGAGGTGTGAGTGTGCACCTCAGTGTGAGCATCCTTGAGTGTATACCTGTGAGTGTGCATCTCTGTGTGCAGGTGCCTGTATGAGTGTGTCTGCGTTTGTGTGTCTCAGCGTGGGTGTGTCTATGAGTGTGGAAAGACACACAGCCTGAACACAGCCTAACTGATCATTCAGGTTTTGCTGCAAAGCCACGTAGACCCATCTCAGCCTCAGCTGTTTCCTAAGCTGCCCTGCAGGCCACCCCCTCCCCAAGAAAGGTCAGGGTTGGGACCAGGAGGTCTTCATGGGTGCCACCCGCCACAGGAAGACTGCCCAGGGCCAGGGGATGACCATGCTGGCCGGCTCTGCTTTGGCCATTCCTCTTGAGGCCCAGCCATGCAATGGGGCAGGGGACGAACAGCTGGGACCTACTTTCAGATCCCAAATTTGGGGCCATTTTTTCTTACTTGTTGGGAAAAGGAGGAATAGGTGGCGGAGAGGTCGGGACCAAGTCTTGCCATTTCTCAACAAAGGGCCGCTCCCTTGCCCCTGTCCTCCCGTCGGGGTCCAGACGCGCTGCCGAGAGGGCGACCTTACCTGCCGCAGGGATGCTTCGCCCGGAGCCTCCCAGACCTCCGGCTGGTTCACTGCGGACGCTGCGCGCGGCGGGGCCCCGCTTCCCAGGCTTCACCCAGCCTGCGGCCGCCTGCACGCTCCCCGCGAGCTCTGCGGCCCGTCTCCAGGGTGACCTCAAACAGCGCCCTCGGCCCGCCCCGGCCGGACTGGGCCGCTGAGTGGCCCTCTGAGCCGCCCTAAAGATGTAGAGGATCTCATCTTCACTGCCCGGAGCGGGTCGCCCTGAGCCGCGCCTGCGTCCTGGGGCGGCGGCGAGCTGGAGGGGAACTGCTTCCTTCTGCAGAGAGGAGGACATTTGGGACTAAAGGCATTGCACCACGAGGGCCCCTCATCAAGTTCCTTTCCCTGCAGAGGTTAGGGACAGGAGTGGGAAATGCTGCGGTTTCCTAGGACAGGAAATTCGAGACGCAAAGGCACAGTCAAGCAGCCCCTGCCCTTTTCCCGACCCCTGACGCTGCTTTCCAGGTTTCCGCTCCAAGGTGCAGGCGGTGGGTAATGGAGGTAATTAAGCGCTTACATTGGCCAGATACCCCAAATACTGACAAACATTGGGATTTCGTAGTCCCAACAACTCTGTCGAGACAGGAAATGTTCTCTCTTTAAACGATATGGAAAATTGAGATTCTAAAATGTTAAAAAAAATATATGGCCCGGGCCCCTGAAACTCATGGTCTTAACTCCAATCAATGTATTACAAACGGGGCTGGGTTCCTTCACTTTCCTTAGCACGACTCTTCAGAGCCTATTCATGCCCAAGAATCTTTGAAATGGATGCTGTTTGGGGGTGAGGACCTACCTTGCCGATATAAATGGGCCTTTCCTCTTCCTTAGCGACTATCCCCAGCCTAAGCTCACTGGGCCTCCCCAAACCAAAAGCAAACAAAAGAAACACTGTAGGGACCCTCCTGTAGTGGGCAATCCTTGGAAGCCGAACAAGATGCCTCCGAGCACCTAGCCGAGGGCGTGGCTCTTGATGAGTGTCCTGCTGCAATTAGCACTAGCTGAAAGTAATACATTGGGATTCCGGTAGAGCACAGTGTTAGGATAGCACTAGAAGGAGAGCAATACAACTTTCCAGCCCCCAATCCCTACTCATAGAAAGGTAAGAACAAGAAAGGATTGTTGATTGAGTATCTACTATGAACTAGGTAGGAACTGCTACGTGATTGATAAACATTATCTCATTGAATCTGTTCAGTGACTATGACATAGGGGACATTACTCTATTTTTTTTTTAAGATAAGGAAATGGAGAATCGTTGAGTAACATGCTCAGGTCGATAGAAATCACAGAGCTGAGATTTGTCTGACTCTAACCTTTGACCTTTGCCAGACCTTAAGCCCATCATCCCTACCCTAAACATGGAACGAAGTTTTCTGGAAATGCGGGTAAAATTTTAAGAGACTGACAGTAAAAGAGATTCACAATTCATTTATTTTTATATTTTTCATTTATTTTCCAGAAAAAAGAAATCACATTTCAGTAACAACTTACATATAGAATTAAACTTTGTTCTGGAATGGGAGCCCTCATTGCAGTAATGTGTCATAATAAATAATTGCATATTCAGGATTTTGTGAAATAGGCGATTGGGAAAATTATGAACAAAAAACATTTATAAAAATTACTATTTACAAAAAGTGATATCCATACTTTTTCTAACTTATGAGGCAAGTAATGTTAAGACGGTCTCATGATTATCTTCAACAAGGTAATTACACACTTTCCTGTCACCATTGTTCAGCAGAGAGCTTTGCTGCAATTCTGTGAAGGAGCAAGCCTTTGCTTCCACTGCTGGGTTTCTCTTGAGCACAGCATAGAAGCAGTAAAGCTTCCATCACAGACTAAGCAGTGATGGCTATCAGAATAAAGTCTACTCTTTTGAAATATACGTGTAGGAAAAGGGTCGGGCATTTAATCAACATTTTGATTAAATTTTAAACGTATCTTGAGTATTTTTATTCACAATTCTTTTCATAAATATTTTATGCCCAAAGAATTTTGTGAAATTATGTAGTCATTACAAGATTATAAAGAAATTTAGTCTATGTTTGCTAATAGATCAATCTAGATTATTGAGATTCTAATGATAGATCAAAGAGAACTCTAAACAAAGGTTGCCACCAAATCAAACTACACACAGCATTTTCCTTAATTAACAGAATTTCATTATCTATAGAAACAGCAAAATCTCTGAGATTCCTAGTTTCTCTTATCGTTCAAGTTAAAAAGTCAATGCCTTACATTGCCATTTAGTAGGAATGAAAATTAATATCTGAGCATTTAATTCATATGATCTTTGACTATGCAAGTGAAAAACAAACAAGAATTCTCTTTAATTGAAAACAATAGTGTTGAAATGGCTTAAAAAGCCAGCTTTTATACATTACTGCTTGGCCTGCAGTGAAGCTCTGCTCATAGATAAGATTAACGTATCATCATATCAGCACTTGGCTTTTTCAAGAAAAATTGTTCAGCAGCAATTTCCAATTCCCTTAGACAAAGAGGAGAGAGAGAGAGAAAGAGAGAGAGAGAGAGAGAGAGAGAGACAGAGAGAATATGAATTAGATAGGAGTCAATCTCTTTCATGCATGTCCATTTGATAAAGCAAGAATTAAATTCCGACCTGAAAAATCAACACAGCTATACGAATTATCATTCTAGCAACTTGAAGAAAAAAAATCTGACTTTGGATCTTGGGACAGTAGTCTTTGTGATAGTTACTTGTTGTATTATTTTAAAAACCTTAAAGTGATGGTGTATGAATAACATCAAGCATTCACTTTGCCAGAAAAAAGTCATCAAAATAATATAAAACTGAATGAGTGAGATGAAATTAACATTTGCATGATATACTCATTCAATGGAACATTTAAAAATTATAAATTATAAATGGCTTATGACCTATCAGGCTGATTCATAAACTCTGGACAGATTAAAAACTGAACTATTCTTTAGATAAATGTAAAGTGACTCAGTTTGATTTTTTTCTATATGATAACAATTTACCCAGGAAGTTTTAAAAGAAATATTGTTGATTTGATATAAAAGCAACTGATTGGCAAAGAAAAGCAAAGAAAAGCAAAATAAGATAAAACAATGACATGCTTATTAGAAGAGTATAGAATCTTGCAAAATCTGTGCTAAAGAGTACACTGCTCTTAGCTTTCACCAAAATATTTTTAATATAATTTCTGACAAGTTTATGTAAAAATGCTATCAACATTTATCTATCATGATTCAGTTTGCTAAAGCTGTTTAATAAAACATTACTGGAGATTATTCACTAGCATTAATTCCACACTGCAAAGAATTGGCAACCTCTTCAATAGATAGGGGTCCAATATTCTGGTCATAGGTGCAAGCCTGGAAATTTATACTAAAACAATTAAAATAATTTTATTGTTTTGTTTTGAATATTTTAGATGATAAAGTTAAATTCACTAAAAGATACTAATGAAATTTAAAATAGATAACAATTCATTTGAAATAACAGGAATTCCCTTAAAATTAAAACAAAGTTCCAGAAGCATTTTTTAAGCATTCCTCATTATTTTATTTGCAATTATTGAAGGATATATAAACTAGTGTTAAAAGAAAACTTTTCCAAAGGTTTTTTCAGGTGTGTTTAGAAAAAAAAGTTTTCACCTGATTAATAACTTTCTTAAGCTTCATTAAACACTAACATTTATTGTTAATGTCCGAGTAGAGAGAATTATAGTACAGGACCATTTTTTTTTCAGACCACAGTGAACATCTGCCAGAACATGATTTGTAAAATACTGGAATATTTGGTGAATATAGCCCAAATACACTTTACTTCTTTTCTTTAAAACATTATGGGACATTAAAAAATATAGTTTTCATGAAAACCTTTTTTTTTTTTTTTTTTTTTTTTACAAGGATAAAGATGTATTTAAGACAGGCAAGCTATTACTCTAGGGATAGAAGGAGGCAGTCAGAAATCAGAGGACAAATAATTTTAGAAGTTAAACCTAGAGAATAAATTATTATATCCATGGTCAATGTCAACAAATGGGTGTCTTTTCCTCATAGACATACCCATGTAGGATAGAAATCAGATATTAAATGTGAGGGCCAATCAAGCGGTTTGCCACGGTCATCTCCACAGACTTTACATTTGACATGCCTTCACGACAGATATTTAGATCTTAATTAGATGATAATAGTGCAACTCCAGCTTGATGGATGTTGACAGAACATTGAAGCAATGACACAAGAGAAAGGCAAGTGTTTTGTTGCTGTTTTTAATATTTAGAGACTTAAGCAATGTACTCCTATCTCATCTTCCATACACTCCACTGACAAAAAGTAACATAATGGTAGCCATATTTAATTCTATTTAATTCATAAGTGAGAGAATGGCATTTAGATACTGTTGGCCATGTGGGAAAAAAAGCCGAAAGGAGCAGGGAAAATAAAATAAAGCCTTAAGAGGAAAGTGCACACAGGAAAGGGTAGGAAAGATGGGTCATCAGAACAGTCGCTTTAATCAATGTAACTTGGATTGATTTGTTCATTCATATCAACAATTTAATTAGACTCATTGCATGGACACATCATATTTACCTATATTAACTTTCAAAGCTATATTTAGAGATCACTCTTGGTTTGATATTAAGTATAATATCATGCTTCCATTTTTAAAAAATTGCTGATCAGAAGGCCATGTGGCAAAATGAGTACATTTAGACTGAATGGAATTTTGCTCAAATGTATATTTTTTTGGAAAAGGAAAAGCTGACACACACACACACTCACACACACACTCACACTCACACACACACACACTCATCTGTTTAGTAGGTATCTGCATATTTTGCTGTATCATTCAATTTAATTTATAGCCTGTGGTTACTTTGAGAAAAAATAGAATGAGGCTACTACATGTTTGTAAAGTCAAAAGCTTATAAAATAAACAGATTCAACTCACAAGTTAGAGATCTGAATGTCCCTTGCAAGGAAGGAAACATTTATTAAAACTTTGTATTTGAATAAATAACAGCTTGCAACCTCCCTACTACTTCAAGTCTTTTAAGACACTGAAGAAAAGGACAGAAATATGAAAATGAGAAAATGCATTTCTGTTATTCTGTTAAACTGAGATGGTTTAAGAGAATAACTTTACAAAAAAGATAGGGATTTTCCTAGGGAAAGATGAGAGGAAATTAAGTGGACTAAATGAAAAACTGACTAGAAAAATGGTTTTCATCTTAGAATTTAATGCTTAAAATCTGATATAATGTTAGAACTAAGAAGGACCTTAGAGATCCACTAGAGCAGCGATTCTCAAATTTGGGGCACTTATCAAAATGTATAATCCCAAGTCTCATCCCTAGAAGTTTATGCCTTCAATACAAATGTATCGATGCCTACTGTGTATAATTTGTGTGGTGTTACAGTGAGTGTTTACAGTTAAACACTGTAACCCCACATGATGATAAATGCCTATAATATTCTAGGCTCTAAGGATATAGTGGTGACCAAACCAAAATCATTAATAAGTGATGATACAAATCATACTTTGAGAAGCATTGATTCTTTTTTGACAACTTAGTTATTGGAATTATCCTTATTTTGGTAATGTTTTTTCATGGTGCCTTGTCTCTTGGCATTCAAATGGAGTATGTATAGTGACATAAGACAGATTTTTTTGGTTCAGGGTAGATAAAGCAAATAAGGTGTTTCCTCTGCAGTGAGAATAACTGGGTTACTTCCAGCTGCACTGTCATTTTGGGGAAATTAATTATTCGATTTAAGCCTCAATTGTCATCACTTGTAAAACAAGAATTAAAAGAGTACTTACAATTTTTTGATTGATAAGAGGATTAAATGAGCTAATATCTCTAGTGACTGGTATACAGTAAGCTCTCTGTCAATTTTTATTGTATATCAGTTTACAAGTTTGCTTATAAAGCCTCAAAAGGTGGTTTCTCTATGTAAGTTAGAATTGTGAAACTTCAGAGTTGGAAGACACTTGATAGATCATTGTGTGCTGTTATGGTGTTTAAACCATGCTCTCAGGAACTCAGATTTAAACTGTTGGAGAAACTCCTGCTTTGCTTTGAGCTGTTTTGACTACCAGGATTCCATGTACAATTTTATTAGGAAAAAAGTCCTGCTGTTAAGAAAAGCTTGAATACCACTGGCAATCCCAACTCCTCAGCTAAAGATGAGAAACTGAAAAGGGCAGTGACTTGTCCAATATCATACAGCAGGAGTTAGTGGTACAGCCAATGTATTATAGTTATCTGCTTTTCTAAAGCGAGCTTTAGAAATGGAAATATGTGTGATTATGGCTCAAACACTTTGCTGATTAAGAATATATAAAACAAAAAAATGATGTAGTTTGACTGAGGGATTCCTATTAACTCAAAACCCTTTGAATTGTGGACATTTTTTCTTCTACAGGTGAAATATATTCCCAAATACCATGCAGTGAATTTTCATTTTGGCTGTGGGTGTAGAGAAGAATACAGCTTTAAAAATGATTAAAAATTTAATTCGTAGTAATTACAAATTTCAATTATGATAAAATTCAGAATAATTATTAATAAAAATTTATTTTTAAAAATTTCATGAAAATATGGATTTTATTGGAAAAGAAGAACATACTTTCCATGTTGCCAAAATAAAGTAGCATCATTCATACTTTTTATCTTGCTAAACCAGAACCTTTTAAAGATGATAACATTCAGGAAATGGCGTTCTGGTTAACTAGAACCATTTCTTTTTGTTTTAACCCTTAGTACCAAAAGTCATTTTAATACATAGTAGTTTATTTTATTCTGACTTGGGAATAAAATGAATAAATGAATCTGACTTAATGTGTCTTTAATAACAGACTCTTCCATTGCGTAGGATCATTTTTCAGGATAAGAATCCTTATTCTACAGTACTGCGGATATAGGTTAACAGGAGATTATAACCTACCAAATTAACAAAACAAAATGTCAAAATGCAAATCCCTGATACCAGCTTATTGTGTTATTATTTGATCTCTTTTCTGAAAGGTAAAGGGATACATTTTCTATTGAGATTCTGGTTATTCAAAGTTTAATCATTTTGAAATTGCTGACTCCCATTCTGTTTCATACAGACCAATTAAGGGATCATAGGATTTCTTCATAGTTTCTAATTTAGTCCCTAGAAACATTTGAATAATGTTAGAGATTACTGTAATCTCTGTTTTTAATTACATTTTTAAAAATCAATAAAATTATTTTTTGGGGAAAAAAACCCTGGGTTTAATTACTAATTCATTCTAGAGCTATATAAAATAAAACAAAATAAAATACAAATACAAAGACATGAGAACCAGTAATATGTACACATTTTTAATATGCTTCATATTAATATTCAATTTTTAAATGAATTGATTACTTAAAAACACATTGTTATATTCATATGCTGGATAATTCTCAATTTTCTGCTGCTTACTCTCCATTGGTTTTAGCATCATAAATTCCATGTTTCACGGAATTTAAAATCTTGCATTTTCTATTTTGGTTTCAAAATCAAATTGGATACCTTTACATAAAAGGAGTATATTAATTCGTTCGTTCAAAGAAGCTTCAACACCAGACTGCTTTAGGGAGCCAACGGAGAGTTTGTTGAATAGGAAGAATTTTTCCAAGGTAAAACAAATCATTTTGAACATTCTCTTGGTAGCAAGCACTCATAGAGGAGTACAAAGATTAATTTAAAAAGTTTCACTATAAACAACTGCCAGTCACAATCTCATTTTAGAAGTAAGACTTTAAAAATTTAATTTGATTCTAAAATGTAAAGGGGCTAAAGATTCTTTGTTAAATTTGAGTGGATATAAAATGAAAGTTAACAACTAATTTTAAAATAATAACTTAATAATTATAGTTATTTAACAGCATAACCTATAATAGAAATTGGTTTATGTTTAAATAAGTCCTATGACTTAAAGGAAGACTATCATTTTCAGAGCTTAATGAGGGAAGGTTTTACAACCGACATTCCTGAAGAAGTTCGTCTTTCTAAATGTTCATGTCGTGGGACCAGATTGAATAATAGCAGTTTTTATTATACCTTGCAACCATGAAATGACATACATTTTAGATAACTCTCCTCTTGATTCTCTGAGAACGCCAAATATTTAGTTTTATACAAGAATCCTAATCATCCAAAAGGAAATTTATCACACAGTAATGTGAATAGAATTTCATTTATAAAGTTTATTTTTCCATTCTCAAATGACATAAACAATGATTAAAACTCTCCTGGATTAAAAGAGGGGACTTTTTTTTTTTTTTTTTTTAAATTCTCAGTCTCAGTGTTTTGGTTCCTGTGGGTAAAGAGGAAGATGCAAGATATCATTCCTCCATACTGGATGAGTAAGACCATCTATTCAGAGTAATTGAGCAAAAGTTGTTAACCAGTTCAACTATGGAAAGCCTTGAAATCTTAAAACCACAATTTTGATTTTCATCTGATTATTCAGCAATCTCCACATTTGCTAAACTGTAGAGAGGGGCAAGTAGTTAAGACTTCAACATCTTCTTTACTCTTGATTATAATTTAATATACTTAAACTTTAAATATGAATTGCTTTCCCTTTTTACACAAGTTATAAAAATAAGAGGCCCTGTTTACACAGTTTGCATTTTTATGAAATTTGCAGTTTGAAAAAAAAGCTCTTTAAAAAGTGGTAACTAATGCTTTTTTTTGAATATGCTGTAACCTTAGAATTTTTTTTTCTGAAATAGTTTCTCAATTTAACCCACTAAACATTTGAAGATAGAATTTATATTTAGCACTAGAGTAAAACATACTAAGGATTGAAGAAAAGTAAGTTTGTTTCTTTTTCTTCTGGTTCCACTTAAGTTTCTTTAATATGTGGCACCCCCTTTATGACAGCTATCAATATTATATTTAAATTTTATATATTGACAAAATGCAATCTACCTCTGTAAGCATTGTGCCATTCAACAATACTACTATTAAATTTACATACCACAGTTTAAATTACATCCATTTCAGGAATGGTAAAATGCTAAAACTCAAGTGTCTAACTGTCTTACTGGAATGAGAGTACAATTTACAAATACAATAATTACATTTTAAAACCATTAACAATATTACACCTAGAAGTAAATACTGTAGGACTGGTCATCAGGGTATTGTGTGAGGGAAATCACAGCTGAAAGTCATTGACTTTCCACCTGCTGTGTCCCAAGTGCAGATATTGGTTTCTTTTCATTAAACCCAAATTAAAACCTGTTTCTCATATATCAGTTCTCCATTACATGAATCTTCCAAATCCTTGCATGAGATTTTATTAGTTATCTGCCAAGTATTTTCCTGCAAAACAAAATAACATGTCGACAGGTTACCCGTTAGTTCAATAGTGTAATTATTATATGGGTAACATTTCTATTCCTCCCTCCCTGCCCCTAGGAGCGGATACTGCATATGTTAGAGGTACAATACGAATAAAAGATACATAAAGTTTCCCAATCAATTTTCAGTTTTTCAGATCAGCTAGTTCCCTTTTCACATTTCCATAGAACAGTTTGCAGAGGTTTGGGTTTTGCCCAGAATAGATTGGGAGATTTATTTCTGGATGTGAGAATCCAACTTACTTTAGAAAGGATGCTCAGATAACTTATTTTCCAACTTGAATCATTTTTTAGAGTGAAAGGGGTATAATCAATAATCACACCAGTACAATAAACATTAAAAAACCAGGATTTATTCCAGCAAATCACTGAAAAGTATAATCACTCTAGTATTAGAGAATTCCTCTCCCCCAATTAAAAAACAAAACAAAACTCCATATTTTGTGCTAACTAAAACCTGTCTCATGGCCATATTCAGCTTTTGGGTGACAAGTTTTGATCTGTGACCTAGATTCTTTGAGTTTGTAATAACTCAAAGTGAAAAAATAGATTCTCCCGTTCTAAACTCTACGAAGCCTTGTCAGAGAACAAGAAGTTTTCAGGTGGGAAATAAATTAAAAGGCAAGGCTGGGCACGATGGCTCACACCTGCCCTGCAATCCTAGCACTTTGGGAGGCCAAGGTGGGCAGATTACCTGAGCTCAGGAGTTGGAGACCAGCCTGGCAACATGGTGAAATCCCATCTCTACTAAAATACAAAAAATTAGCCAGCATGGTGGCGTGCACCAGTAGTCCCAGCTACTCGGGAGGCCGAGGCAGGAGAATTGCTTGAACCCGGGATGGGGAGATTGCAGTGGGCCGAGATCGCAACACTGCACTCCAGTCTGGGCGACAGAGCAAGACTCTTGTCTCCAAAAAAAAAAAAAAAAAAAAAAAAAAAACAAACCACAAACAATATTTATCTCGTTTGTCAATATAATAAAGGTAGGATTTACTCCATTAACCTGTGTATACACATCTACATAATGGGAACAACTGGCTAGCCCCACTTAAGAAACAGCATTAGGATGAGTAGCCAGAGCCTCCTGACTTCGGATTTCTAGTTCATTGTCCTATTTCTATTTCATTCAATAATTGATTTGTTTTCTAATTGGGATGGTAGTTGAAAGTGGGAAAGAGGTGGAGGAAAAAGATGAGAAAATCACAACCTATTCCTCTTAAGAAAGAGTAGTCAAGGCAGCATTATTTTTGCAAATGAAAAAAATCGAGATACTCATTTACCTGCAGCAAACCTTTTCTTGATGAGTGAAAATCGATACCCTGCTCCAACAAGTTCAATGTCACAGCCAGAAAGGGTGCTTCCTTCACTTGTGAACTGCACAACTAATGGAGAAGGTTTGCTTGGGCCTTCTGATAACTGAAATCTTGCCAACAAAGAACCCACCCCTAAAAAAAAGTGTTACAAGGTAACAGTCAACATAATATTCTGGATGTAATTTTGGACATTGCATTCAAAAGAACATACAAAATCAGACTTTATTGACAAAATGGTGATTAAATGAAATTTATCACTGAATATTATGAGCAACTCTATTTGCACACTGGTAACAGTCTACTTCTGTTAGATGGTACCTCAAAATTGGAAGATGTGCTACTTGGAAGCCCTTGTAATTTCCAATCTATAATTAATATCTGAGGAGAGTGAAAAATATCTAATCCGGGAGTGTGGAATCTGACACAGGATGGAAACATGACTCCTTAAGAGGCCTGAGCAATAGTTTGTTTGATATGGAGTCTGTAGAAAACGAAAAAGAGAATTCACTGAAGAATTTTTTGCTTTTATTAATTGAAATAAATAAATGCAAAAATGGAGTGAAATATTCTGTTTGTTTTTAGTGCTACATGTTTTGGGTAATAGTTGGCAAATACCTAAAAGCTATTTTAGTTTTACATGTTAAATAAAATAAGCTCGTGATTTCATTACCTCCATTTTCGGACTTCTGAGAGATATCAGGAATCTTCCACAATATTCTTTGTTGTTCAGCATTCCTAAAAACAAATTAGGTGAAAATTTTTTGCATATGCAAGGATTTTTGTTTAGTGGATGCCATGTTTCTTTCTGGATAGTATTAATTTTTAAAACAAGATCTTGAAAAGTTTCACTACAATTTAAAAATTCTCTGTCTCTCTCTCTCTCCCCTCCCAGACATACATACATCTCTCTTTTCCTTGACCTTATTGTAACTAGCTAGAACACCATGAGATGTACATTTAGAGGACAAAGTAGAGTTAAATGATTTTTTTCAAATACATCTGCTAAAACAGATACATGGGAAGATAGATGAGAGTATTAGTTAATCAATTAATTAAGGTAATTAAAATTGGGGTCATGATCCGGCTGACATTCATCTTTAAAACACATTCGACTTTTTGCTTCTGACAGTCATATGGAAAAAAATGAAATGCCCTTTCTAGAACAAGTCCTTTATAACGGATGATACAGGCACAATGAATCTGTTCAGTTTCTAGACCCTTACCTTCTCTAGTGTGCCTTTTATGGTTCAGAGGCTAGAAAATAAAACACTACATTTCTCAGAGGCCTTTGCAGTTAGAGTCCTAGGTACAAATGAGGTCCTAGAGTCCACTCTAGCCTCTGGTTTGCGGGGGGCCAAGAAACACTTAAGGAGTTGCCAATAGGTCCTTGCTGGTCATAGGATCAGAGTTACAGCTCTGGCTTCTTGAATTCAGTGGTTCTACAGGGAGCCTTCTGATTTCTCTCTTTCTCCAGATTGTGGCAGGCCAGTTCGGCAGAGGTCTGGGAGGCATGTTTAGAGATCCAGTCTGTTCCTTTCCCACTTACACCGTTAGGCAAGCATTGAAGTCCTTGTTGAATTAGTTTTTGCTTAAAATAGATACCAGCGGTTTCTACTTTCTGCCCTGAACCCCAATACACAGGACTGCTGTCCTCTCCTCCTACAGGAAACACAAGTGCTAAGAAGTCTGTGACCCCTTGACCCAGAGGAGCCCCCCCTGGGTTGAGAGAATAGAAGGCATCATACCAGACTGCTGGTGGGAGCACTGCCTGGAGCTTGGTTACGCCTCCGTCGATGGGGACCAGGAACTGCACATTGTTGAGGGCCACGGCGGTCGTCATTGCATCTGTGTTGTATTTGTAATCTATGCGCAGGTCAGTGCTTGCAGGCTCACATCGCCAATTCACTGCCAGGTTCAGAGGCGTGGACTGAATACCCTGGGCAGACACCTTGCCAAATGACAGGAAAGAGAATATTTAAGGTTCGATCAATAATCTGAAACAAAACCAGAAGCTGTGATTTTCGCCCACAGGGATATTCTTAGACGTCAAAATGTCATAATGTTTTTTATGCCGCTCACAAGCAACCATGAGTGAGAGGCACCATGAAGGGTGCTGTGAGACAGAGCTGGGTACTTCAGGTAAACCGTTACAGACTGAAAACACGAATGCAGCTACGAGAGTCTCCGTAGCACTTTGGAGTTTCCAATACCCTTCACGTCAGTTAAGGAGGTGGGATAGCAGGCCGGCCAGGAGCTAAGGCCGAGAAGCTAGACAGTTGTAGGTGTCGGTTCTGATTCTGCCATTCCGCTTACAAGCTAAGTGATCTTGGACAAGTTCCTAAACCTCTCTGAGCTTCTGTTCTTTCCTCATCTGCTAAGTGGGCATTATAACAATAATATTTACCCACAGGGTTGTCAGGAAGATTGAAGGAGATGTTTTTTGGTGAAACACGCGGCAGGACGCCTGGCACACACTAAGGAATGACATTTTGGTTAAGTGTTACCTTTAATATTCTTACCATATTTGCTCTTCAACAACAAACCAATGAGCTAGACTAGCGTAGATTATTATTACTCCTTTTTTTACACCTGGTTTCAAGTCCTTACTGCGGCAAATCCCAAAGGGATTTACTTCCTTTACTTCCTTTGGGATTCCGCTAGCTGAAAGTGCTACAGTGCTAGAACCTACTGTCAATACTAATTAGAATCAAATGTGAGCTTGACTTAAAAAAAAAAACAAAAACCCACCAGGTTTGAAGAAAAAACAAACATTTATCTAAAGGCAATAATATTGATGTGAATTCTGGGTCCACAGTGAAAATTTTACAGTGTTACAATTTCTCGATTTTTCACTATCGTGGAAAATAAGTCTCCAAGAGAGTCACCTCTCACACGTACATGTACATTGCAGGGATGAGATGAGTGTTATCTATGCCCTTGGATTTTTATTCATGGAGTATGATGAGCTTTTCTGATTTTGAAGGATATAAACAGCTGTTTAGGAAATGCTTGTGCATATGGTCGCCACGGAGAAGGGTCCTGAAGGCAGGTTGAACTTTCAAGGCAGGAGTGGTCGTGGCAGAAACAAGACCCAAAATGAATTCTTTTATAACATGAAAGATATGGCTTTTGATGACAATTTAAACTAGTTAACCATTATAGTTTTTAAACTTTAAATATTATTGGCAGCATAATGCTTTCTGCAGACAAACATTTATTTAAAAATCTATTAACTACAGCGGATCAAAAGCAGAGCAATCTCCCTCCCCAACCCCATTTTCTGGACTCTGTCCTCAGTGACAGTTCTCAACCTGATTATAGTTCCTCTACCTGGGGAGGTGCTTTTTGGGTATATGAAAATGTGTTTTTGATTGTTCCAATTTCTGGGGGGGATGCTACGGGGCCAGAAACTAAACATGCTGCAGTTTAAGGGCAATTCCACAAAATGCTGGTTGCGCTTCTCCATCCAATTCTTTGCATTGTTGAAAAACGACAACGAAAAGACAGGTAAGCAACAGCAAAGGAATTCTTCAGAGCACATGTTAAAATAAAACAGCAAGTCTAGGACTGTTTACGTTTCATAAAGTACTTTGAAATATATTAGGCTGTTAGCTTCTAATAGCAACCTATAAAATAGGTAGATGTCATTTTTACCCTTAGATGAGGAAACTGAGGTTCCAGGATATAAAGCAGCCAAGGTCAGTGGCCAGTAGAAAGCTGACTTAATTCTAGAATTCAGTATCTTGCTTACACTTTATTTATTTATTAAAAAAAAAAATAGAGATAGAGTCTCCCTATGTTGCCGAAGCTGGTCTCAAAGTCCTGGACTCAAGTGATCCTCCTGCCTCAGCCTACCAAAGTACTGAGATTACAGGTATAATCCTAGACCTTGCCTACATTTTAATACTTTAGTTTACACACAGCTCATACTGCAATAGGTGAATTCTATCTACTTTCTAGATTTACTTAACAACAAACAGAGAAATAAAAAAAAAACTCCACCCGATTTTAAAATTTCAAACAAACATTTTATCTGAAGTGAAAATGTACACGCAGTGTATATAATTAGAGTCCACGAAGGTGAAGAACTGCCATCCTATTTCTATACTTTGGGGATACAAACCATGCATGAAATTTGCCTTCTGCCTTGGAATTTAACTTTTCATTCAGAGGAAAAAATCACATTTACAGTTTTCCTTTCTTATTTCCTTTCATTTCTCACTAAGCATATTTAAATATTTTGGGAAAAAGATAAATAAAATGTGTTTTCTATTATATTTTAATTTATAAGTGATGAATTTATGCCATATTATATATTAGTATTATCTGTAATGTTCAAAGAGTAGATACTATTCTCACAATAAAAAATTATAATCTTTTGCATTTTTGGAAAATGTACCATTATATAGATATTTTACTTAAAATGGTATCCTTACAACATTTTAAAGAAATGTTTTTCAAAGCATAGGATGCATAAAATCTCTTGAGGAACTTGTATAAAGTACAGATACCTGGGTTGCATTCTAAGCCAATAAAATAAAATATATGTATATTTAATATATATATATCTGCTAGACCCTAACGCCACATATATATGTATATATGTATATATGTATATATGTACACACATACATAAATATATATAAATAATATATTATCTTTAAATAATTTAAATATTAATTTATAATAATATAATATACATTATAACACATAATATATTGTATATTATATAATATTTATTTATAACATACAATATAATACCTAATGTAATTACATTATATAATTATATATAGTATAACATACTTATATATCATATATAGTATAACATAATTATATATAGTATGTTATACTATATATAATTATATAATGTAATCATATAACCTGTTATTAATATTTATTATAGTTAACTATAGATATACATATATATTTCTTTCTAGCATCAATTCAGAACCAGCATTTAATTACAAGTTCCTCGGTGATTGAGAAATACAGCCAAGTTTGAGATATCCTGATTTTTATTAACGTATTAGTTTCTTCATTTTAAGAAAAATAATCTGAACATATTTAATAAAAAATTATAATGCATTAAAAATAAGGTAAATGTAATAATCCAGGCACAGAAAGACCCATACCACACGATCTCACTCTCATATGAAATATTTAAAAGTTGATCTTGGCTGGGCACAGTGACGCTTTCGGAGGCCAGGAGTTCGAGGCCAGCCTGGCCAACATGGTGAAAGCCTGTCTCTACTGAAAATACAAAAATTAGCCAGGTATGGTGATGCATGCCTGTAATCCCAGCTAAATGGGAGGCTGAGGCAGGAGAATTGCTTGAACCTGGGTGGTGGAGATTGCTATAAGGCAAGATTGTGCCACTGCACTCCAGCTTGGGCAACAGAGTGAGACTTTGTCTCAAAAAACTAAGTAAGCCGGGCGCGGTGGCTCACGCCTGTAATCCTAGCACTCTGGGAGGCTGAGGTGGGTGGATCACCTGAGGTTAGGAGTTCAAGACCAGCCTGGCCATCATGGTGAAACTCCGTCTTAAAAAAAAAAAAAAAAAACTAACTAAATAAAATAAAATAAAAATAAAAGTTGATCTTACAGAATTAGAGTAGAATGGCAGTTACCAGAGGCTGAGGTGGTGGCAGTGGTGGGGGTGGGGGTTTGTTTGGGGAGATGTTGGTCAAAGGACACAAAATTTCAGTTAGATGGGAGGAACAAATTCCAGAAATCAATTGTGTAATATGGTGACTACAGTTAATAATCATATACTGCTTTCTTAAAGAACGCTAAAGAGAGTGAATGTAAAGTGTTCTCATTACAAAAATAACTATGTGAAGTAATGCGTATGTTAATTAGTTGAATTTAGTCATTCTACAATGTACATATATTCAAAATATCATGTTGTACCTAATACAGACATATAATTGTACCTGTCAATTAAAAAAAAAGTGTAACAGAATCTAGGCAGTTGGTGGGTGTGGTGGCTCATGCCTGTAATCCCAGCACTTTGGGAGGTCGAGGTGGGCAGATAACCTGAGGCCAGGCGTTCCAGACCAGCATAGCTAACATGGTGAAACCCCATCTCTAATAAAAATACAAAAAACTAGCTGGGCATGGTGGTGCACACCTGTAATCCTAGCTACTCAGGAGGCTGAGGCAGGAGAATCGCTTGAACATGGGAGGCAGACATTACAGTGAGCTGAGATTGTGCCACTGCACTGCAGCCTGGGGGACAGGGTGAGACTCCATCTCAAAAAAACCCCCAAAAATATAGGCAGTCAAGTGGCTGGGAATCAATGAGAGACTCAGGCGCTACCGGGTCCGGGTAGGAATTAGGATTATTTACTGTATCAACAATAATTTGAGGTAAAGGCAATCCCAGATATTAAAATAAAGTTTGCATATATTGTACTATATCTATCAAATATTATTTTATTATTGAACTTTTAAAAATGTTAGATTTTATTAGAATTCTTTCATAGGACTATCTTACTAGAAAAACAAAAGCAGATTGTTTACACTGAATCATTTAAAATAAGAGGTTTTAGTATAGTAATGTTCTTAACAAAATTATAATTGTCTGGTTTATCAGTATAAACTTATAATCTTCATTGGTATAATGTTCTGCAACTTCATTTTTTTGTAGCACATTTCTCTAATTTTGTGATAAAAAAATTTACTTGTAAGCTTAAACTAATAAGAATATGTATGAATATTTTTTGTCAGTAGTCCCCAAATTGTCTTTTGAAGTTTCCATTAAAAAAATGAATTAAAGCTTTTAAATAATGTTAAAGAAGTGTTACTTTAGTTGCTTTTATTCAATAGTAGGTACTTTAGAAAACAATAGTAGGTACTTTAGAAAACAAATATGTCATGTGAAAGAAATCCGTACCATGTAAATAGGCTTACCTGATATTTGAGCATGTCAACGTTATAATATGTAGCCTGGGGTTTTTGTTCAGACACTTTCTTGAGGTGAGTCATCAAATTTGGCATGTTTACCCAGAATTCCTTGGTATTGGCATCATTTTGTGTATTATCACTGTTCATTTGGGAAGAAAAATGATTGAGTAGCATCTTATAACAAATCAAAACCCTACAAGAAGCAGCTTGGCAAACTGTCGTCTGATATCTAGAGTCATCTTTTGACTATTTGTAGAGATTATTATGAGTCTATTAACAGTAGTGTGGTTTTCATGCAAATACAGTTCTGAATGCTATTGTGATGGTAGATTAATCCACAGGGAGGAGCTATTGTCTTGCTATCAATCTCAGTGAGTGTCTAGTAATATTCACTAAACACAATGATGACGGGGAGCTTTAAAGAGTGAATTATTTGTTAACTCAAACTTCATAGTCCTTTCTACAGCACCAGTTTTGTCTAAATTAGTCACTTAATGCAATTAAGGAACTGAATACATTTATTTTCTTTTGAATTACTTTGAGTAGTAGTGCCTCAGAAATTATCCAGTGAAATATTTGGCCAAATGTAAACATGATCTTTATCACCAACTAAGCAGAAAAGAGTGATACTAAAATTCCCAGTCTACCTTTTCAGCATACATAATAGTTCATCCATGAGTATCTAAATCATCAAAGATTTCCCTTCACTTACAAGATGATCCTGGAGTTTAAATGATAGTAATAATGGTATTATAACACAGAAGAAAAGTGCAGTCTTTACAAGCTAAGGGGTTTTATATCCCTCTGAGAGTCTTAGCTTTGCTCAGAGGCCTGAATACAGACCACTTACCAAATCAATCTTGCAAATGCTCATCTCAATGATAAAAAAGAATAGGCAAGAGAATACAAATATCTGACTTACTTCCCATATAATGAGGAAGCTGAGGCCCCAAGTGATTCAGTTACTTGTCACACAACACATTTGCTGACACTTCACTTTCAGAATATCCTATATAGTACAATAGCATATAATAGGTGCTTAAAAAATTATGCTAGGCATTATAAACTATTTCATTAAAATCTACCCTGCAAAGGGAGAATTATTGTCTTTGTTTTTAAAGATGAGCAAACTTGTTATAAAAAGAGAAAATTAGGGGTTGAGACGGGAGAAGGCTGATACAGTGAAAACATGAAAAAAGCAGGTCAAAAGTAAGTTGCTATGATTCAGCTTCCAGAAGTCACATAAATCAAGAAAGTTGAGTTAAAAAAAACACCAGGGCCTTAAAACTGTCACTGGTCTGTTAGGAAAGGGTGCCCAAGTCTCAGTGTGACCAGTGTGGTTTTGTTGTCTCTGGATAGAAGGTTATTGAGGACAAGGTAAAGCTCTTTGACTCTGGGAATGGAAAAAGGGGGTGGAAAATATACCTGGTGCTTAAGACTTTGCCCCTGGTCAGCTGAGCTGGGGATGCTGATAAGGGCTGTCCGAGTTTTTTAGATTGAAAAGCATCTAAGCTACCCAAGTTTCCAGAGCTGTTGCTGCACAAGCAGACAGGAGATAAGAGTAACAGAGGGTCGGTGAAATTAAGTGACTTGCTTAAGGTCATGCAGCGAATAAGAAACAGAGCTTGATCCCAGCCCATGCTGGTTGTACAGGTCACACTTTCCCACTACGCCAAAACAGAGGTTCCGAATTAATATCCAGCAACATGTCATTAATGTATACTAAGTAGATTTGAATAATTGGGAAACCCTCAATTATATAATACTATTTTACAGAAGTGCATTTGCTGAGTTTAATAACAAAATAGGCTGCCATAGGTTGTGGTAATTTCTTAGAGAACCTGCTTTAATAAATATTCAAGAATGCTTTGCTAATCAAATGCTTACACAGAGATGAAATTCTTAAATGCTCAAGAAGCCTTGAGCATTCTTCGGTGTCATACTGGAGTTGACAATTGTTCCCAAATATTTTTGTAACAAGCAAACTTTTTTTCATAAGAAAAAAGCAGATGTAAACTTCAATGTGGCTCCTGTCATAAGGATTGCAAACCTAAATGTTTCCAGGGGCCACGGTGACATATGAAGTCTTCTTCAGTAAACATCAAGGAAACGATTGGATTGGTTGATGATAGACACTAAAGGCTCATACTGCAATCTAGAATAATGTGTGGTCAACAATGCCTTTTGAAAACTGGGGATGGCTGTGGTGGTCATGGCAGTGGGTTGCACTGCATAACTAAAGAGGCTATAGATGACTAAATGGTCACTCATCACAGCCCTGTTACAGGGATCAAGTATTTAGAGTTCTTAAGATCCAAATTAATGGGAAGTATTTTATTTCTGTTTTTTTTTTTTTTTTTTACTTTTGCAAATAATAATTCAAGGGTCTATATAATATTTTGTTAAAACCATTTTGAGTGATTTTGATTCTATTTATTAGACCAATATGTTAATATATGTATATAACTCTTGCACATATGCCTAAGAACTTGGCAACGTAACTGCCTAAAAATGCAACAAAAGCTGTAACTATCACACCAGTCAGATTTACAAACAAACTGGCAAGATATTCGCACATAATTCCTAATTTCAGATGGAGAAACCTTGAAAATTAAACTGGCTGAACGTGCACAACCTAAACACAAAGAGAAGCTGAATCAATAATTTGAATTAAGAGACTTGTTCCATTCCCTCACGGCTTGCACAGTCTTGTGGGCAAGATGGATGAATGAAGAAACACAAATAGGTATGTCATTATTAACTGTAGTAAGTGCTACAAAGGAAAAGAACAGGTACCTTTTGAGAGAATAACAAGGCGGTGCAAAAGTAATTGCAGTTTTTGCCATTTAAACGTAATGGTAAAGGCTGGGCATGGTGGCTCAAGCCTGTAATCCCAGCACTTTGGGAGGCCGAGGCGGGTGGATCATCTAAGATCAGGAGTTAGAGACGATCCTGGCCAACATGGTGAAACCTTGTCTCTACCTGGGCACGGTGACAGGCACCTGTAATCCCAGCTACTTGGAGGGCTGAGGCAGGAGAATCACTTGGGTGACAGAGTGAGACTCTTTCTCAGAAAAAAAAAAAAAAAAAAAAAAAAAGTAATGGTAGAAACCACAATTACTTTTTAATTTTTTTATTGTACTTTTTATTATTATTATTGTACTTTTAAAATTAAGTTCTGGGGTATGTGTGCAGATCTTGCAGGATTGTTGCATAGGTACACACATGCCATGGTGGCCCTGTCACCTACATCAGGTGTTTCTCCCAGTGTTATCCCTCTCCAACCTCCCCACTCCGCCTCTGCTGTCCCTCCTCTAGCCCCCCACCCCACAGCAGACCCCAGTGTATGATGTTCCCCTCCCTGTGCCCATGTGTTCTCATTGTTCAACACCTGCCTATGAGTGAGAACATGTGGTGTTTGGAAACCACAATTACTTTTGCACCAAGCTAATAGTTTGGGGCTGGTCAGTGGAGATATGGGGAGGAGAACGGGATAGTCCGAGAGGCAGAGTAGAGCTGAGACTAAAGGATGCGTTGGAGTCAGGTGAAGAAAGTTGAAATAGTATTCCAGGCAAAACAAGTGCTACCAAGCCCTGTTGTGAGAAAGGACTCAGCCTGTTTCTGAGATTGGCAGGTCTTGCTGGAGCTAAAAGGATTCTGAGGCAGGATGGTGGGAGATGAGAACAGAGAAGTAGACAAGGTCAACCACTCAGGGCTCCACGTTTAGATTCTGGGACAGATGTAATGTGAAGCCACCAGGGAGTTACGAACAACGATGACCTGCTTTACTTATAAAAGACCACCTGGCTGTTAAAACGTATTGGAGAGGGCAAGATTGGATTCAGGAGAGAAGGAGAAAACGATTGCAATGGTACAGGGAAAAAGCCGTGGTCACTTAGACAAGGGGGATTGCAGTAAAGAAAAAGGTGACCACTTAGAGGTTTGTAGATGAACATCAGGACTTGATGGAGAAACTGTCAAGAAGACTCCTTTCTGCTCATTCACTGCAAACAATTAACTTGTATAATTGATCGTTTTCACAGCATGCATGCATGTGGGTTTGTGTTACTGTGCCTGTGCATATGCATAATAAAGACATCAAATTCAGGTTTAATAGTTAATACAATTTCATTGTAATGGCTGTTATTTTGATGGAACCTTACATGTATGACATAAAGGAAACTTATGCAAATATGTTTACATAAATGTAATTTTTCACATTTTCTAACTATTAAATACACACATACACACACAATTGATTTAAAAAGAGGGCCAGGCACAGTGGCTTATGGCTGTAATTCCAGCACTTTGTGAGGCTAAGGTGGGCAGATCACCTGAGGTCAGGAGTTTGAGACCAGCCTTGCCAACATGGTGAAACCCATCTCTACTAAAAATACAAAAATTAGCCAGGCGTGGTGGCAGGCACCTGTAATCCCAGCTACTTGGGAGGCTCAGGCAGGAGAATCACTTGAATCTGGAAGGTGGAAGTTGCAGTAAGCTGAGATGGTGCCACTGCACTCTAGCCTACGCAATAGAACAAGACTCCATCTCAAAGTAAATAAATAAATAAAATAAAATAAAATAAAAATAAAAAGATGCTCATACAATGAAAGGAATTCATTCTTGTTATTTGGCTAATTTCCCACCATCGTCATCCACTGCCTGTTGATAATAAGTGAAGCAGACAATGAATAAACTGTTGCCGATACAGATTTTCTTACTCTGATTCTCTCTAACCACTTGAGATAGTCGGCCATTAAAATACATATATGCGTATGCAGTTACACATACACACACAATCACCTGCAATGAATTTTGGTAGCTGGTAAAAGTTCTGGGTCTGAATCTATAAATATATCTGAGTGGTGGTAATTTCATTCCAGTGCGACTATCTTGATAAGATATATCCCTCATCTAAGTACAAAGTACTAAGACACCTATATCTCTGAAAAATTTATGCAAAATCATATTTACCAGCAGAGAAGTTGGGGGTTTGGCAGGACATGTTCTAACCTGCTGAAATTTATCACCCGAAAAGTCAGAGCAGCTGGGGATGGGTTGTTGGCAAAGTGTCTGGTGATGCCAGCAGGAAAGGACAACACCATTTCTCCAGTAATCTTAACGATACATCTGGCATATCAAAAGAGAGGAAAAAGAGAGAAAACCCATGTCAATACTCTGAATCAAAACCACTGTGAAAAAAAATGTATGAGGCAATGTTAAACAGCAGAATAGACGAAATAGCTTTTACAATTCCATTAAAAATACTTTAACTTCTATTTTAGTTCAGGAGTACACGGGCGGGTTTGTTATTTAAGCAAACGTGATTTGGGGGTTTGGTGTACAGATGATTTTGTCACCTGGGTACCAAGCGCAGTATCTGATAGGTTTTTTCTTTCCTGAACCTTTCTTTTCTTCCATCCTCCTCCCTCAAGTAGGCCCAGTTTCTGTTGTTCCCCTCTTTCTGTCCACGTGTTCTCATTATTCAGCCCCTACTTATAAGTGAGAACATGTGGTGTGGTGTTTGTTTCTCTGTTTCTGTGTTGGTTTGTGAAGGATAATGACCTCCAGTTCCATCCATGTTCCTGCAAGAACAAGATCTCATTCTTTTTAATGGCTGCCTAGTATTCCATGGTGTCTGTGTAACACATTTTCTTTATCTGGTCTACCACTGATGGGCATTTAGGTTGATTCTGTGTCTTAGCTATTGCAAATAGTACTTCAATGAACACGCCAGTGCATGTGTCTTGATGATAGAATGATTTATATATTTTTAGGAATATAACCAGTAATGGGATCTCTGGGTCAAAGGGTAGTTCTGCTTTCAGCTCTTTGAGGAATCACCAAACTACTTTCTACAATGGTTGAATTAATTTACACTCCCACTAGCAGTGTATCATTTCTAACTTACCTGAGAACTCAATGGTTAACACTTATTTTAAAAAGTGACTATTTTGTTTTATGTGTTTCAAAATGTAAGAAGAAAAGCATAGCTTTTCTCTTTCTGTAGAAGTCTATAGATTCACCTCATGCATTGAACTCTAGTGGTTCCCCTTCACTTTGATTCCTGAATTTTTGGCAGCATATTTGAAGATATTAAATTATGTAATGTTATCACATTGTTTCCCAGGGATTGTCTTAGTTCTTCAAGTAACGTGAGTAATGCCTTTAGCATGTTCTTTTACGTACTCATGAGGTAAAGTTTTTGCCTTGCACTTAACTAGTGCTTCATTCCATTAATTGGTCTATTTGGTCAAATTGTAAAATCAGTCACATGAGTTAACACAATGGGATGATAGTGTGGAAGAGAAAATAATTCTTTTTTTTTTTTTAAAAGAAGACTTTATGAAGATATAATTGATATATAATAAACTGTACTTATTTACAGTATAAAATTCCATGAGATTATATGATGTAAAATCATCATACAATTAAGAAGAGTGAATATTTCCATCATCCTTAAAAGTTTTCTCATGCTTTCTTCGTAATGCCTTTTTGTAAGCTTTCCCGCTATTTCCTTTCCCTGTCCCTAGGCAAGAGTTAATATGCGTCTGGTCACTATACCTTTGTTTGCAACTTCTAGTATTTTATATAACAGAACTGTAAGATGTGTGCTTTTTTGATTCTTTCGTTCCACATAATTATTTTGAGATTTGTCCATGTAGTTGTCTGCACCAATAGTTCATTTCTTTTTGTGGCTGTGTAGTGTATGGATATTCCACATTTAAAAAACATTTATTCACCTACTAAAGAACATTTGGGTTCTTTCCAGTTTTTGCCTATTACAAATAAAGGTGCAATGAATACATGTGTACAGGTATTTCTATGAATATACTCTGTCATTTCTTTTGGTAAGTACACAGGAGGGTACTTACTTAAGTCATTAGCTCACGCAATAGGTGTAGGCTTTCAAAGAAACTGCATGTTTTCTAAAGTGAAAAACACAGCTGTGCATGAGGGTTTTAGTTCTCCCATATCTCACCAACACTTGGTAGAATTGATCTTTTTAATCTTAGCCATTCTAATAGGTGAGTAGTGGTATCTTCCTGTTGTTTTAATTTGCATTTCCCTAATGGCTAAGAATCGTAAGCATCTTTTATATGCTTATCATCAGTTATCTTCTTTGGCAAAGTGACTGCTTAAACTGTCTGCCAAGTTTTAAAATAGAGTTGTTTGTTCTCTCTTTGAATGTTAAGGTTTCTTTATATATTCTGGGCATGTCATTTATCAGATATATAATTTGCAGCCCAGTCGGTGGCTTGTTTTGTTTTTTCTTTCTCTTAAAATCACGTTTGAAGAGCAGAAGGTTTTTTTTCATTATCGTACTTTAAGTTCTGGGGTACATGTGTAGATTGTGCAGGATTTTTACACATGCCATTGTGGTTTGCTGCATCCATCCCCCTGTCACCTACATTAGGTACTTCTCCTAATGCTATCCCTCTCCAATCCCCCACCCCCTGCTATCTCTCTCCTAGTTCCCCCAACCCCCAACAGGCCCCAGTGTGTGATGCTCCCCTCCCTGCGTCCATGCGTTCTCATTGTTCAACACCCACTTATGAGTGAGAACATGCAGTGTTTGGTTTTCTGTTCTTGTGTCAGTTTGCTGAGAATGATGGTTTCCAGTTTCATCCATGTCCCTGCAAAGGACATGAACTCATCCTTTTTTATGGTTGCATAGTATTCCATGGTGTATATATGCCACATTTTCTTTATCCAGTCTATTGTTGATGGGCATTTGGGTTCGTTGCTAGTCTTTGCTATTGTGAACAGTGCTGCAATGATCATACATGCGCATGTGTCTTTATAATAGAAAAATGGGATCTAATTAAACTTAAGAGCTTCTGCACAGCAAAAGAAACAATCATTAGAGTAAATCAGCAATCAACAGAATAGGAAAAAATAGTTGCAATCTACCTATCTGACAAAGGGCTAACCTCAAAAATCTACAAAGAACTAAAACAAATTTACAAGAAAAAAGTAAACAACCCCAATAAAAAGTGGGCAAAGGATATGAAGAGACACTTTTCAAAAGAAGACATTTATGTGGCCAACAAACATATGAAAAAATGCTCATCATCACCGGTCATTAGAGAAATGCTAATCAAAACCACATTGAGATACCATCTCACGCCAGTTAGAATGACGATCATTAAAAAATCTGGAGACAACAGATGCTGGAGAGGATGTGGAGAAATAGGAATGCTTGTACACTATTGGTGAGAGTGTAAATTAGTTCAACCATTGTGGAAGACAGTGTGGTGATTCCTCAAGGAGCTAGAAATAGAAAAACCATTTGACCCAACAATCCCATTACTGGGTATATACCCAAAGGATTATAAATCATTCTATTATGAAGAGCCAAAGTTTTTAATTCATCAGTTTATTCTTTTATGGGTTATATCTAATCCAGTCATTCTTTTGGTGTCTTAGTTAAGAAATCTTTGCCAAACCCAAGGTCACAAAAGTTTCATTTGTATTTTCTTTTCTTTCCTTTCTTTTCCCTTTTTTTTGTGACAGGGTCTTTCTCTGTCACCCAGACTGGAGTGCAGTGGTGCAATCAGAGCTCTCTGCAGCCTGAAACTCCTGGCCTCAAGCAGTCCTCATGCCTTGGCCTCCCAAAATGCTTGGATTACAGGCATGAGCCACTGCAACTGGCTCTTTTATATTTTCTTCTACAAGTTTAAAAAAATCTTTGGTTTTACATTTAGCTTCATTACCCATTTTCACCTATTTTAGTCTTACAGTGTAAACAGTGTCAAGTACGAATCTCAGTTTGTGTGTGTGTGTGTGTGTGTGTGTGTGTGTGTGTGTGTATGAACATTCAGTTGTTTCAGCACCATTTTTTTTGAGAAGACCGTCCACAGAATTACCTTGAAAATTTTGTTGAAATTTAATTGTCCTTATCCGTGTGAGTCAATTTCTGGATTCACAATTCTGTTCTATTGATCTATTTGGTCTACTTTTAAGACAATATCACACTGTCTTGATTACAGTAGCTTTATAATAGTTCTGAAATCAAATAATGTTAGTCCTCTAACTTCGTTCCTTTGCATAGTTGTTTTGGCTGTGGTAGGCCCTTTGAATTTCCACATGAGATTTATAATCACTGTGTCAATGTCTATATAAAATCAATTCATTGCCTCTCAGTGCCAATTCACCCTTTACCACCTACTCTGAGAAAATTAATGGACCCTTAATATGTTTTCTCTTTGCTTACAGGAACCACGCTTAGTTTTGTCAATAGAGACACTACGGACACATTGCAGGAGAAAGGGGTTTTCTTTCTCCCTTTCAGCCTGCTTGCAAATACACGCTCTCGCAATGCAGAAGGCTTATGTAGTGCCAGGTTTTTGCAGTGCAAGAGGCTTGTTTGTGGTTCCTGCAGTGCATGTAGTGTCCCCAGAGCGGGGGTTTTGCAAGCCACATAGCTCTCGCAGCACCTGGTAGCACAGACAGCTTTCCTATCATCTGACTCACGTAAAACGACTGGCCGGGCTGCCACAATGCCCAGATCTTATAATGCAGATGGATTCTTTGGCTCCAGGCTCCTGCCATGTTCACACCTTCTCCACTGCCATCTTTTGCAGTGCATGGTGGTGGCAGCACCCATCTACCTTAGCTTCCCCGGGCACTTCCCTCAGCCAATTTTGTAGTAGAGAGCCTCAGTGAAACACCTCCCCATGAGCAGCTGGAAGTCAGCTGGGCTCTCCTTATGCCAGGCCTGAAAACTCTCAAGGAAGTAAGCTGGAGCAATCATAGGGCACACCTCTCCTCTTAGGGATCACTGTCCTTCAAGTCTTGCAAGTCATTGTTTTATATATTTTGCTCATTTTTAAGCTGTTTGAGGTAGAAGGATAAATTGGTCTGTTACTCTACGTTGGCTAGAAGCAGAAGTTTCACAAGGCTTATTCTTCTTTGGGAAACAGTAAATACTTAAAGTGAGTGAGCTTCTTTACGACTTCCTCCAACGTTTCCATAGCTGACTCTTGTATTACTTCACAGGTATGTACTTTCTAGGGAAATTGATGCTAATAAATGAAAACTTTGCTCACATTGGAGCATGGGGACTCCATTTTGTCCCATAGTCACCTTATATATTGTGGAACTCTGATGAAATATACAAATATACT